TAACATTAGTATATAAGCACTTAATATTACCTAACATTAGCATATAAGCACCTTATTACCTAACATTAGTATATAAGCACTTAATATTACCTAACATTGGATTATAAGCACTTAATATTACCTAACATTAGCATATAAGCACTTAATATTACCTAACATTGGCATATAAGCACTTAATATTACCTAACATTAGTATATAAGCACTTAATATTTCCTAACATTAGCATAAAAGCACTTAATATTTCCTAACATTAGTATATAAGTACTTTAATACTGTCATTAAGTAAAACCTATAATAATTATTTTTCGTTATCAGTCTGCTTTGTGTATTTCTTCCAGACCCATGCAGTGATCCACTGTGAGACTTTCCTGTAATAAAAGACCGCTCAGTGTTACATAGTTAGTCTGGCTGAAAAAAAGACAAAAGTCCATCCAGCTCAACCATTAAAAAAAAAAAAAGTTATAATCCTACACCCACAGTTGATCCAGAGGAAGGCAAAAAACCCAGCAGAGCATGATCCAATTTGCTCCTGCAGGGGAAAATATTCCTTCCTGATCCCCCGAGAGGCAATCGGATATTCCCTGGATCAACTTTACCTATATATAAGTGCTTCTCTTTCTTTCTCCCGCACCCTCCGACACACACGCCCTCGACGTGTTTCCTGGGCTCCATGCGCCCGTCAGCAGGGCCAATATATGTCAGGGACCTCCTTCCTGCTACTGACCCGGAAGCAATGTGTAAAACATCACTGCAGAAGAAGCTAATGGAGCACAATCTGCAGTCCATTAGCTTTTATTGGAGGGCAGGTGAGACATCAGGGGTCGTTTGGGCCCCTGATGTCTCATTAAAGTGAACCTGTCACCAAAAAAAGCATAAATATGTGATAAAGTTTTTAGTTAAAAAAAAAAAATTGAAAGTTACACCCAAACACTTAAAATGATTGAGCCCAGCCCCACCACACACCACGACATAAATGTGTTGGGGTTATTTGCATGAAAACGTTGATTGTGCTACACATGTTACATATCACTGTGAACACTGGAATGAGAGCAATACTTCAGGACACGTTATCCATGATTAACTTTAACCCTTTCACTGCCAGGTCCTTCTTCTCTCTGTCTTCCCCGGATCAGAGAATGAAGGAGGGATCCCATCATTGATGTTATGACTGGTTGCTCCAATGTATGTTGGACAAGCCTTGCCTTCCTCCGGAGGTTATACAGGTCCCTGGGGTGAGCCCTCCAGACAACACAATACATTTGCTCAGCTCCCACTCCAGCAGCTGCACAAACCAATAGTCCGGCAGCTGCTCCCCTCTGTATGATGACATATGTAGGGAATACACATTGCTGCCATCACCTCGTAGTCATACCGCAGACCGGAGGCCATTGTCATTATTATTAATATTATTATAATACAGGATTTATTTAGTGGCAACAATTTACGCAGCAAAGCAGCTGCAAGCTTTGAGAGCATTGTTAAAGGCCAGCTCCAGCCATAACAATCAGATTTGTGTTGGATAGAATGCAGAAGGCTTAGGACGCCCATCTGGATTTTATTGCTGTCTGCACAAGCCACACTTATCATGCGGCATCACATTTTCAGTGACATCTTGGAGAATGCTGCCTTTTATAAACAGGAGAGCCCGGTGAGAATGTAGCCTATCTATTCACTAGAGACCGATGACATCACTGAGAATGCAGCTTATCCATTCACTAGGGACCGATGACATAATTGAGAATGTAGCCTATCCATTCACTAGAGACCGATGACATCACTGAGAATGCACCCTATCTATTCACTGGAGACCAGTGACATCACTGAGAATGCAGCCTATCCATTCACTGGAGACTGGTGACATCACTGAGAATGCAGCCTATCCATTCACTGGAGACCGGTGACATCACTGAGAATGCAGCCTATCCACTCACTAGCAACAGGTGAAATCACTGAGAATGCAGCCTATCCACTCACTAGCGACAGGTGACATCACTGAGAATGCAGCCTATCCATTCACTAGAGACCGGTGACATCACTGAGAATGCAGCCTATCCATTCACTAGAGATCGGTGTCATCACTGAGAATGCAGCCTATCCATTCACTAGCGACAGGTGAAATCACAGAGAATGCAGCCTATCCATTCACTAGAGACCGGTGACATCACTGAGAATGTACTTTATCCATTCTATAGAGACCAATCACTGATATTGCAGCCTATCCATTCACTAGAGACCGGTGACATCACTGAGAATGTACTTTATCCATTCTATAGAGACCAATCACTGATATTGCAGCCTATCCATTCACTAGAGACCGGTGACATCACTGAGAATGCAGTCTATCCATTCACTGGAGACTGGTGACATAATTGAGAATGTAGCCTATCCATTCACTAGCGACCGGTGACATCACTGAGCCTACAATGATGTAGCCTATCATTCTATAGACTGGTGCCATCACTGAGCATGCAACCTATCCATTCATTAGAGAGCAGTGACATCACTGAGAATGCAGCCTATCCATTCACTGGAGACCGGTGACATCGAATGCAGCCTATACATTCACTAGAGAACGGTGACAACACTGAGAATGCAGCCTATCCATTCATTAGCAACAGGTGAAATCACTGAGAATGCAGCCTATCCATTCACTAGCAACAGGTGAAATCACTGAGAATGCAGCCTATCCATTCACTAGCAACAGGTGAAATCACTGAGAATGCAGCCTATCCATTCACTAGAGACCGGTGACATCACTGAGAATGCAGCCTATCCATTCACTAGCGACCGGTGACATCACTGAGAATGCACTTTATCCATTCTATAGAGACCAGTCACTGATATTGCAGCCTATCCATACTAGACACCACTGATATGACTGAGAGCGCTTTCCTTAGGTACCATTCATCTCGGTATGGATTTCTTTATTGTAGTCGGACGCTCTAAGTCCTGCACCCTTGTTTGCATTCTTGAGGAAGCAATTATATAAATATTACTACTGTAAAGCTGTCCTGGCTGGCCCCATTCCAAAGGCTGTTGTATGAAGAGGCCCAGCGAGACACCCTGTCTGCCTCTTTTGCCAGAGGTTTTGAAAAAACTTTTAGCTCTGTTTACTGCACAATGACTGAAAGAAAAACATTGCCTGATGCTGTCACCAGGACCTCTGCAAAGTGCACGCAAAAGCACTTGTCTTCTGTTTGGACAAGACATTGTAGGCTTGAGTGCTACTTAGTAGTTGTTACCTTGTCCCCCGCGCTGCCTTTCATGCATTGCCCCATATTGCCCCCACTCACCATCCAGCCTTCTTCAAAGCAGAACCGTTTCACAGGTTGTTACTCCTTAAAGAGAACCTGTCAAAAATGGACAAGACGATGGAGTCTCTTTAAAGCTCACCTCTGACCCACCATATACTTACTTTTACAGATCACTCCCTACTATGTAGTTGTTGCAACATTTTACATCTGCTATATGACCAAACTGATATGGGTGCCACTCCAAATTATGGAGTTCAGGTACTTCCAGTGATCAGTACTGTTAATGCTACTGCATATGTAGTCCTTCTATACCGTAGTTTGAAGAAAGATTCTTTCTTTCCAAGCATGACTGTGCCCCTTTGCACAAAGTAATCTTCACAAAGACATGGGTTAACCAGTCTGGTGTGGAGCTGGGGTCTCCAAACTTTCTAAGCAAAGGACCAGTTTACTGTCCTTGTAGACTTTAGAGGGGCCAAATTGTGGCCAGCAGGAGTAGAAAATGCTCCAGCAGCATTGGGAGTAAACAATGCCTTGGGCTTGGTGGTCAGTGGAAGTAGAAAATTTACACAACGCCTGTGGTCAGAAGGAGGAGGAATTGATCATTGGGATCATTGGAAGCATTAGTGCCTCATCATTGGGGTCAGTGGAAGGAATAGTGCCCCATTGCTGGTGTCAAGTGGAAGGAATAGTGCCCCATCGTTGGTGTCAGTGAAAGGAATAGTGCCCAATCACTGGTGTCAGTGGAAAGAATAGTGCCCCATCATTTGGGTAAGTGGGAGGAACAGTGCCCCAGCACTGGTGTCAGTCGAAGGACTAGTGCCTCATCATAAGGTCAATGGAAGGATTAGTGCCTCAACGCTGAGGTCAGTGAAAGGAAAAGTTCCCCATCATTGGTGTCAGTGGAAGGAAAACTTCCCCATCATTGGTGTCAGTGGAAGGAACAGTGCCCCATCATTGGTGTTAGTGGGAGGAATAGTGCCCCATCATTGGTGTTAGTGGGAGGAATAGTGCCCCAGCATTGGTTTCAGTGGGAGGAATGATGCCCCATCAATGGTGTCAGTGGGAGGAATGATGCCTAATCATTGGTGTAATTGGAAGAAATAGTGCCCCATCATTGATATCAGTGGCAGGAATAGTATTCCACCATTGGGTTCAGTGGAAGAAATCGTGTCCCATCGCTGGTGTCGGTGGGAAGAATAGTCCCTCATAACAGTGAAAGGGGATAATGCCCCAAGGGATGGATAAAGGCAAGCAATGGGCTGCAGTTTGAAGACCACTTGAAGGGGCCTGTACAGCTCCCGGAACTCAAGCCTACTGAACACCTTTGGGATGAATTGAAATGTTGATTCCAAAATGGGTCTTCTTGTCCAACATTTGTAAATAAGCTAAAAAATGCTCTTTTGGCAGATTTAGCCTAAACAGACGCACTCCAAAATCTCGTGGAATGTCTTCTTGAGGAGTTAAGGTTGTTGTAGCTACAAAGTGGGGCCCTAACTCCATATTAATGGCCATGGTGTTGGAATTGGATGTCCAACAAGCACATATAAGTGTGATGTTGCAGTGTCTACAGGCATTGGGCTCATAATGTATATGCATGGAAATCCTGTCAGGCGTTTTCAAACCATTCAATCCAGTAAAAATTTAAACTGGTTATAGAGGGGCTAACAGAGTAATGTTTGAAACAGAAGTATTTGTTAGTGTTCTAACATGAGTGGAGTCTCACTGGTTTCGATTTGTCATTGTAGGTGGCGCAGACAAGCCGTCCTGACCTCATCCTCTTCTGATGAAATACCTAATGGCCCTCGTGGTGGGAATACCTTCTGTCTTCTGGGTGGGCAGCAAGAAAACCTGTTTCGAGTGGGCCAGTTTTTTCCATGGCCGGAAGAAGAAAGAGTGAGTGTCTGCACCGAGTAAAGAGTACCTGTATTCAGTCTATTTCCTCATCACACAGGAAAGGGTGGGAGGGCCAGTGGATCTTAGTCAACATAATCAAGATTTTGTAACCATTTGACAAAAGGGAACTTTTTAAAACTTTTCTATTCACATTATTGACTCCACAAACCTCTGGAGAACCAGCCGCAGAGTATTAGTACACACGAACAATGAAAGTAATGGGCGTCAGTGCGCTGGAACATTTTTTACAACTGATTAGAAATGGAGTCCAACCTTAACTTTTTTTTACTATGAATAGCGTTGGTAATAATTACAACTTTGGCCAGGATGTTTTTGTGGTCTTTGTAGAAATTTACCCTCACACTACCCCAAGTAGCGTGAGGAAGAGTAAGAACCCCTCAGGTTTAAATGCAGTCTGTACTCCTGTCAGGGAGGTGTCAGTGGGAAAGGAAGTGAAGGGAGTATTAAAGGTGATACAGAAGCAATTAAAACCTCACTATACAAAACTTAAAGCAAATTTTGGCTAGTGAAGGGATGTGTGTAAACTAGAAGAGTGAGGAAGTTTGTGTGTATGAAGTAGAGTAGAAGGTTCTGTGTATAATGGAGAAGAGTAAAATGTTGTTGTGTGTAGAGTGTAGGATAGTTGAAGGTTGTGTGTAGAATTGAGGAGAGGAGACAGTTGTTTGTGTGAAATAGAGAGAATAGAAGGTTCTGTGTAGGATGGAGGAGAGTAGAATGTTGTATATAGGGTGGAGGAAAGGAGAAGGTTGTGTGGAGAATGGAGGAGAGGAGAAAGTTGTATATAGGGTGGAGGAAAGGAGAAGGTTGTGTGGAGAATGGAGGAGAGGAGAAAGTTGAACATCAAGTGGAGGAGAGAAGAAGGTTGTGTATAGAGTGGAGAAGAGAAGGTTGTGTGTAGAGTGGTGGAGAGTAGAAGGTACTGTGTAGGATGGAGGAGAGTAGAATGGTATATGTAAAAGTGGAGGACAGGAGATGGTTGTGTGTAGAGTGGAGGTGAGAGGAGAAGGTTGTGTGTAGAGTGGAGTAGAGGAGACGGTTGCTTGTAGGGTGGAAGAGAGGAGAAGGCTATGTGTAGAGTGGAGGAGAGAAGAAGGTTATGTGTAGAATGGAGGAGAGAAGAAGGTTATGTTTAGGGTGGAGGAGAGAAGAAGGTTATGTGTAGAGTGGAGCAGAGAAGAAGGTTATGTGTAGAGTGGAGGAGAGGAGAAGGTTATGTGTAGAATGGAGAGAAGGTTGTGTGTGGAATTACAAGAGGAGAAAGTTGAGTATTGAGTAGAGGAGAGGAGAAGGTTGCATGTAGAGTGGAGGAAAGGAGAAGGTTGCTTGTAGGGTGGAGGAGAGGAAAAGGTTGTGTGTAGAGGATAGGAGAAGGATGTGTGTAGAGTTGAGAAGGATGTGTGTAGAGTTGAGGAGAAAGATGTGTGTAGAGTTGAGGAAAGGATGTGTGTAGAGTTGAGGAGAAGGATGTGTGTAGAGTGAGGAGAGTTGTGTAGATTTGAGGAGAAGGATGTGTGTAGAGTTGAGGAGAAGGATGTGTGTAGAGTTGAGGAGAAGGATGTGTGTAGAGTTGAGGAGAAGGATGTGTGTAGAGTGAGGAGAAGGATGTGTGTAGAGTTGAGGAGAAGGATGTGTGTAGAGTTGAGGAGAAGGATGTGTGTAGAGTTTAGAAGAAGGATGTGTGTAGAGTTGTGGAGAAGGATTGTGTAGAGTTGAGGAGAAGGATGTGTGTAGAGTTGAGGAGAAATGTTCTTTGTAGAGTGGAGGAGAGTTGGGAGAAGGACGTTGTGTGTAGAGAGGAGTAGAGTTGAGGAGAAGGATGTGTGTAGAGTTGAGGAGAAGGATGTGTGTAGAGTTTAGAAGAGGAGATTTGTGGAGGTTGTGTGTAGAGCAGCAGAGAATGTTCTTTGTAGAGTGGAGGATGGGAGAATGTGTGTTGTGTGTAGAGAGGAGAAGGTTGTGTGTAGAGGATAGGAGAAGTAGAGGATAGGAGAAGTTATGTGTAGAGTGGAGAGAGAGGAGAAAGTTGTGTATATAGGAAGATTGTGTGTAGAGTTGAGGAGAAGGATGTGTGTAGAGTTGAGGAGAAGGATGTGTGTGTATGAGAGATGTGTATAGAGTTGAGAAGGTTGTGTGTAGAGGAGCAGAGAATGTTCTTTGTAGAGTGGAGGATGGGAGAAGTTGTGTGTAGAGAGGAGAAGGTTGTGTGTAGAGTAGAGGATGGGAGAAGGTTGTGTGTAGAGTGGAGGAGAAGGTTGTGTGTAGGGTGGAGGATGGGAGAAGGTTGTGCGTGGAGAGGAGAAGGTTGTGTGTAGAGTGGAGGACAGGAGAAGGTTGTGTGGGGAGTGGAGACTAGGAAATGGGGGAAATACAGTACCTGTGGACACAAGGTAACTCAGTTCAAATGTGTCTTTCACTAAGACAGGTAATTCACAAAAAAACAATCTTCTGTAATATATTGATCTGTAAAAAAAATATTGATCTATAGACCTGGGATCCTTTTTGTAGACAATCTTTTTTGTTTGCTTTCCATTGTGCAAAAAAAAAAAAAAAAAACAAAAACAGAGAAAATCAATACTGTTTCTGACTCAATCTTCATAAAAAGATTGTCCAGGGAATTGCCCACAAACCTTCTGAATACTGTCTAATTAAAAAAAACACTCCTGAAAATATAAATATATTATGTGTGCCATCACATGATAGTCCTGTTCTTAGATGGCATAAATACTTACACTGGGTTGAACATTGTGGGTTTATCAGAGTGGTGGAATGCTGAAAATGTATAATTTTGTTGCTTTTCTCAGCAGAGGCGTCAATGAAAGCCGCCAAGTCCTCCAGGAGCCGGATTTTGCTCAGTCTCTTCTCCGGGACCCCAATACCCCTATTGTCCGCAAATCACGAGGGACGTCCACTCAGGGAACATCAACTCACGCCTCATCCACTCAGCTGGCTATGATGGACGAGCAAAGGAGCAAAGCAGGCAGTGTCCACAGCAAGATGAGCAGCTATCATGGCAGCCTTCATCGCTCTAGGGATGGAAGGTGAGGGGCGCTCCTTGCCTAACCTAGCTGCTATCGTGTGGCATAAACTATTTTTAAAGAGCAACACATAATAAACACGTATTGTAACCACCATTGAGATGAAAACATTGTTGAAGATGTTTCATAGCTTATCCAAGCCACTTCTTCAGTTCCAATGAGTGTCTTGAAGTTTTATGTGCCCTCTTTGTACGATAAGTGTGTTTTGGGGTGTGTTGCATATATTGCATTTTTTTAGAACTCTGAATAGGTTTTTATTGCTGTGTCTGCTTTTTTTTACTCTAGCTACCCTTAGTCCCTTATTTCTTGTCCTAGTGTCACAGAGGCACACAGCAAGGTATAAACTCCTCAATAGAAATACAAACTCCAATAAAAGCTCACTTCCCGTTTTTAGGATGGCTACACTGCCATGCAGGGTCTGCCTGGCAGCCCAGCATAGCCACCCTGACCTGCGCTTTTTCCATTATACAGCTTAAAGATCTTTACAACAATTAAAGTATGTGCATGTGGTCAAATGGAGAAAAATGTCACAGCACGTGCACCTAGTAGATGGAGCTAGAGAAAAATACAATAAATGAGGGTTTAATCCAACTTTCTTCCTGCTATTCATTTTTACCATCTGTTCCCCTTTTGGGACAGGAAGTAAAATCGACTTCTCCCTGAGATGCAAGAGGAAGTGAGAAGAAATCTTCACAAAGGGGTTGATTTACTAAAACTAGAGAGTGCAAAATCTGGTGCAGCTCTGCATAGAAACCAATCAGCTTCCAGTTTTTTTTTTGTCAAAACATAATTGAACAAGATGGAGTTAGAAGCTGATTGGCTACCGTGTACAGCTGCACCAGATTTTGCATTTTGCAGTTTTAGTAAATCAACCCCAAAGTGTGGGGAAATTCCCTCTTAGACAGTTGTTACCAGACTAGATGTACCTAGTGGAAGATCACAAACCACCAGTAATAATAATCACTGGGATAAAAAGGATAGGGTGAATCTTCCCAGTGGAGACACATAATACAAACCTGATGGGGGTTCCAACCCTTCCAGACACTATCCAAAGCAAAAAAAAAGTGTTATACATACATTTTAAGTAGTGATCTTTGACTTGGTTTCAGTTTCTCTGCTTCAGTTTTCATTTACATAAATAACTTCTGACCATTTGTATCTAACAAGATGTTCTGTTCTTAGATACACGCCATGCAGCTACCGAGGAATAGAAGAACGAGTCACACACGGCAGCATGTCCCGTCTCACCGACCACTCGCTGCACAGCAGCACACATAGACTTAACGAGCAGTCCCGGCAAGGCAGTATCAGAGACTTAAACAACCCTTTGTCCCACATCTCCCATGGTACCAGCATGAACAGAGTCATTGAAGAGGATGGAGCAAGTGCCTGAAGGTCCCCTTGATAACAGACACAAATGTCTTCTTGAAAGCACTATGTAGTAAAAAGGAATGAACTCTGCCCCCCTGACTTACAAAGGGGATCTGTTCATGGATTTAACATCCGCAGGAGAGCTGAGAACTTTGTGAAGCCAGAGCTGGTTCTGTCATAGACCGTATGACCTATATTTCAGGATCTCCTGTTAGTCTATATCAGCAAAGATAATTCCAGAATCAGGTTCTCAGACCTCACGCAGCCCTTGAATATCCCAAGCAGGCCTTGAAATGAACTCAAAAGTAGTAAATCCGTGTCAAGTGTGTAACTTTTTCCTGAAGATCCGGTGTAAATGCAAGTCAGATTTTGCTCTGGACACCTGCATTCAAGTATTTAATATGCCTCGAAATGATGGTTGTCTAGTGCTATCCACTCTCCAGCAGCTATTGAATAGGAGGTCTTCCATCTCAAAGATCAAGTGCAAAAAATATTTAACTCCATAAAGCTGGATTATGACTTGCCTTATGACCTCTACCTAAACCCCCAACCCCCATGACAATTTAGAAGCTTCTTCTTGGGTTTTCCTTGGAGTGTGAGGGCCTGGTTTATTTATGCTCATAATGATTTGTTCCCTCATACTTCATTCCATAAATATTGATCAAACCATAGTCTACACACATCTAGTCTGATGAACTTTTGGTTCAACATTACTGATGATGTTCCAGCTAATTTCTGAAGCCTCTACTGCAACCTCTTTCTGGAATTTAGCTCCTTGAGTAGACAACAACCCAAATGGAGACCTCAAAACTCTCTTTACATTGATATTCATCTGGACATCGGATTGTTTTCAGTTGTATTCTCTCAACATATGGATATGCAGTTTGCCTCAGAAGATGGAACCAGCATCTTTACTGTTGAGGTAGCAATGGCCATCCTGGAGTTCAGTGGAGCACTGGCAGTTTATAGGCCCATATTGGCTTATTAGGACTTCAGAATTATTTATTGACTGCCTATATTTTTATGTTCCTCTTTTCTTGACCTTTGTCTTTTGCCATTGGTCTTGCCCTTTTATATGAATTTTCAAAGCCACTCAATTCGTTCATGACTTTTAATGGCCATTCCACCCAGAAACAGATGTGTTGTTTTAGATGGAAAGCAGCAAACAGAACAACTTGACTATGAAGGACTCAACTCAAGGGTTCCCAGCTCTAGCTCCCTCCTTTAAGCTGGTCATACACTTGTAGGTTTTCAAAGGAACATTCATATATAAACATCTCATTCAATGACTTGACGAATCGTTACTCTTGTTTGAATATTAAAAACAACCATTTTTTAATGTATTTTCTGTCTTGGAATGAGTGGACTTTCCGAACGAAACCGCATTCACTGTTGGAAATGTGTAAAAGCAAAATTTGCCATCCTGCTTTTTTGAATTTCAAGGAATTCACTGCGGTCGCACTGATCCAGCTAACAATTGTAAAAAACAAACATTCCTAAAATGTTCAAACAAAATTCTACTAGTGTATGGCCAGCTTTAGTTTTATAGAAGGGATCTACTCTCAATGCTTGCCATTTTTCTTTAAGAAGGATGCAGCAGGAGGAGTGAGATATTTGCCTTGCTTCACAAAGGCTGCAGCAGGAATGTTGATTCGGGAACTCCAAGAGATCGCACTACTGAAATTAAAACTTCATCTGTACCTTTGCAAATAATGTTGAGCTACACCATGCCTTTAATTACATGATTTTGTGCTGCAAATATCTTGGAGGGAAGTCCGGGCAGCTCTGCTGCTATTTGCATTTGTAACAGAAAGTGCTGTTACTAGAACGATCTCCAGCTAAGAAATTGTGCAAGACAAAAAATTGGCTTGAAGAAGTCTCACAGTAATTTCCAAATCCTCGTGGAAGCCCCCAGAGAACTAAGTGCATGAAGCATTTGGCCCCATTTTTACCCATGGCCACATTTTTTTCCCCCTTTCTGTTGGTGGTTAGCTCCACCCCAGGCTGAAGCCCAATTTATGGACATTCCTATGGGGGCCATAATAGTCTACTGTGAGTGCACCCATTGTGCTGCGGCCAGGTGAGGCAAGCAAGATCAGTCAGAATAAGCTAGACAGAGTAATATACCACTCTGTAGAGCTATGCTTTTTCAACGCTGCCCCCATGAACACATATATAGGAGCGTCATGCCAACAGGTCCCCCTTCCGTCTCCTATGGTGAATTACATCATTTGTCTCCTGCACGACAGGTGAACACTGTCCCTCAGACGTCAATAGAAATTCGCGTACTGCCAAGCAGCTTGGTCAAACAACGTTGAAGGAAGAGGAGGCGTGCTTTCAAGCATGCTAGTTCAGCAACCAAGCATGGACCAAACCTGGACCAAGTGCTGCATACATTTAATCCCCTGGCGGATTCCACACCATTTTGGAAAATATGGTGATATGTCTTTTTTAGGAAAACTCTATACAGTGAGGCATGATACCCATGATTTCGAGTTTGAATACAATTTAGATATTCTGTAGCTTACAATTCTTTCCAAAATATAACAGTCCTTTAAATATGAATGGTAGATTTCATCCTTCTAGAGATTTATTTTCCTGCAGCTGTCAAAGTGCCAAACCTTTCCACAGGTCTCCATATCCACATCAACTAAGAACTGGACAGCTGCCTTACCTGGAAGCCTGGTGAACCTTGGCAGGCATTCCTTATAGCACTGGCCGCCGATGGACGTTCGAAAGTCTGAACACAGTTCGTGTAACATAGTCCAAAATAGATGTTTGTACAATACAAGATGTAGATAGTTTGGGGAAAAAAATAATGTGATCTATTGCAACTTAAAAAGGGAATTGCTATATTTAAGTCATTTCTTACTACTGATAAATGTCCGTACACTGCAGTATTTAGCTTTCCCTGCCATAGGAAGATGTGCTGAGCCTCATTTTTTTAGGTTTGTAAGGATTAACTGTCTTTGAAGGTTAAAGAGACCTTGTCACCAATTTTAAAAAAATGCATTTACAGAAAAAGCAAGTTTTTAAGACTTTTTCCTTTCATGAATGATTTTTTTATTCATTGTGCCTTTGAACTTGATGGAAGTTTTGACTGCTCCAAGAGTCAGTTTCTTAGCACAGCCCATCACAGCTCTATCCTCATTTGGGATTATCTAATTAATGTCTGTGCTGGCCCAGCTCCTTCTCCCCTCCTCGTACCTCCCTCCATAATCTTTTATGCAGCTGCTGGGGGAGAAGTGAAGTGGAATACTATACAGTGTCACTTGTATGACAGCTCCAAGTCTGCTGGGGCTGCAGACATCACATCCAAGATGGCGGTGCACAGCAGAAATCTCAGGGCTTTTGGATGTCTACACAATGGAGGCTTTTGCAAGAATAATATGCATAATATAAGTTATATTTACATATATATTGTTTTGGAATGAATGGTCTGGTGACAGGGTCTCTTTAAAACAAACTGATTGTCCATTTGTTAACAAAAGATGGTTCTTTCAGCCACTTTGTACTATGAGGTGCATTAATCTCTAGATGAATACATCTCAGAGGTCAGCCTATTCTTGTCAATAGCAGTAAGTTTACAATAGCAGGGAATATGTAGTGAGTATGTGAAACAAAATAAAGTTAGGACTTTAAGAGCACCTTTATTCTATAGACAGTAGTGAAGGCCATATTGTGTCTCGAGCAAAATTCTTCAAGGATGCAGTGCTACTTGGCTGTAATAACTAGGACCTCCAATACGTCCACTTTAAAACTTGATTAGCATAAGATTTTGGTCTGGGGATTTTTTTAAATATTTTTTTTTCTCAAACCATTAACATGCATTCCTAAGTTAAGTGCGTTTCAACACTTTTTGGCATTCTGTACAAACTGACTAGTTAAGGCCTCCTTTGCTAGCATGTCCCTACTCTGCTGGAAGAATGGGAATGTCCTTCCTCTGACTGAGGCCTCCTCTGCTAGGAGAGGAGAATTTCCCTCTGGAGTATTGTACCATGGTAGCCATTGATTTCAAAATAGTAGGAAGCCTTCGACTTTCATGGACTAAACTGGATAGATGTTTTGAAACCACATTTTCTGTGAAAATTTTTTACGTTCATAGATGGGAGGTTCTGGAGCAGTCTTTCTTTACCTTTCACAGAGGAACCCTTGAAATAACCTTCTGGTCCCAGGGAACTCCTAATATAATAACAATAATATCTACAGCTCACCGTACATGGTGTTCAGTGGGAAAAATGTTCCTTACATTGGTGGTCAGTGGGAAAAATGTTCCTTACATTGGTGGTCAGTGGGAAGAATGCTCCTTACATTGGTGGTCAGTGAGAAGAATTTTCGTTACATTGGTGATCAGTAGGAAAAATGCTCCTTACATTGGTGATCAGTGGGAAGAATGTCCCTTACATTGGTGATCAGTGGGAAGAATGCTCCTTACATTGGTGATCAGTGGGAAGAATGCTCCTTACATTGGTGATCAGTGGGAAGAATGTCCCTTACATTGGTGATCAGTGGGAAGAATGTTCCTTACATTGGTGATCAGTGGGAAGAATGTCCCTTACATTGGTGATCAGTGGGAAGAATGCTCCTTACATTGGTGATTAGTGGGAAGAATGCTCCTTACATTGGTGATCAGTGGGAAGAATACTTCTTGTATTTTTGATCAGTGGGAAGAATGCTCCTTACATTGGTGATCAGTGGGAAGAATACTTCTTATATTTTTGATCAGTGGGAAGAATGTTCCTTACATTGGTGATCAGTGGGAAGAATGTTCCTTACATTGGTGATCAGTGGGAAGAATGTTCCTTACATTGGTGATCAGTGGGAAGAATGCTCCTTACATTGGGGATCAGTGGGAAGAATGTCCCTTACATTGGTGATCAGTGGGAAGAATGTCCCTTACATTGGTGATCAGTGGGAAGAATGTTCCTTACATTGGTGCTCAGTGGGAAGAATGTTCCTTACATTGGTGATCAGTGGGAAGAATGTCCCTTACATTGGTGATCAGTGGGAAGAATGTTCATT